GACACACACGTACGCGCACACATGCACACGCACCACACTCGCAGACACAAACGTTCACGCACACGCGTACACATGCACACACGCGCGCGCGCACGCGCACACACAAACACACGCACACACACGCCCGCACACACGCATGCACACACACGCGCACGCACAAACGCACACACACGCACGCACGCACGCACGCGCGCGCACACACACACACACACACACACACACACACGCACATAGTACCAAATAGTCGTGCTTTTATCACCGACACCATTAAGATTACAAACAGACTTTGTTTCCTGCTTGTAAGAAATGTACGCACCCAGAAGTGACGATCGTCCAAACCTGGTAGAATAATTTATGACACAGGTCTTGAAACATGTCCCCGCTCTCTGACATCCAGCATGGGGTACTAGTGTGAGCGCTGGCAGACAGAAGAGGGCTTGTAAATGCCAAGTGTAGTCAACTCAAGTCCTTGCATGTAGCCTACCAAGGGGAATAGTGCATAACAAACAAACAAACAAACACACAAACAAACACACAAACTCTAACCAGTTCATTGTCGCTTCTCGCCTGATAATTGCACAACTTCTTAACTGAGCATCGTGTTTACATTGATTCTCACCCAAACCCACGGAGTCGTGTTTTATCCGTAACAAAAGCAGTCGTCGTTGGCGTCCATTGGGCACGCCAGAAACCTATAATCGTGGGTTCGAATCCCGGTTCGCCCCGACTCTGTTTCAACCCTTGGGTTTCACTTAAATAGTACACGTTTAAGGCCTGTATTATTCTTTGAGTTCCTCTCACGGGGGATACCCGTGCTCGTGGGTTTCACCGAAGTGGTAATCGTCTGCGACCTGCATCACTTCGGGCTTTCCTCCCACATTAAGCTGACACGCCGCGATATAACTGGAATACTGTTAAAAGCGGCGTTAAACCCAACTCACTCACTCACTCACTCACTCACTCACTCACTCACATGGGGTTGACACGCCGTGATATGAATGGAATTCTGTTCAAAGCGGCGTTAAACTCACTCACTCACTCACTCACTCACTCACTCACTCACTCACTCACTCACTCACTCACTCACTGAGGTTATAAACGTTGTTCACGTTTTTCCTTCTCGTACAGTTCACGACAACGATGGAGACACCGGAGAAGCAGTATCATGCGGACGAGGAGCTAGTCATGACGTCAATGGACAAAATGAAGTTCGGCTTCCTCGTCGCATTCCCAGTCGTCATGTTTGTAATGACTGTCATCCTCATGGCGAAGTACAACTAGGTCAACGTCGAATATATGATGAAGGTCAGTATATTAGTCATTGACCTCCACCTTGCCAGGGTTAGTCCCCAGCAACATATACTGGTCGTAAGAGGCGACTTAATGAATCAAGCTCGCTGGCCTGGTTGACGGCGTGACATCGTTCCCAGATCGCGTAAATAGTTGCTCATAATATCAATCCCTGGATTGTATGGTCCAAACTTGTTACTTACCGGCCGCCGTCATATCGGTAGAATAGTGCTGAGTGCGTTAAACAAGAAACAAACAAATAATAATAAAATATCTTCACTATGAATAGTCTGGTTCATTAAACTGTCAGTTGCCAGTTTACAATATCCTGTGTTTCAGATGCAAGGAACAGTTAGAAAATGGGAGCCATCGGCAACACCACGGCCATAGCGGCCACAGCAACATCACGTCCACGGCAGTGACAACAACAACTGAAGCTATTAGGTGCAACAACGTATCCATTCATCATGAATTGTTTGTCTATCAACAATACGTTGTTGCTTTTGTCCAACGATGTATCAGATCTCAAGGAATTGCATTGTTAGTTGACCTAATGTTTCCAAGTAATATATTTTGTATACAATTTTAATTTCTATAAATAAAACCAGTAATAACAGCTCGTGTTTTGATTGAGGTGAGGTGAAATGGGGTTTAACGTCGCGTCCAAGATTATTGCACTTATAAAGCGACGTGCACGCTGCTTGTACTAGTCCGGACTGATGCCGATTTATAGTGCTAGCACACTGAGATACCATGCCGCAATTTAACATGAATACCCCACTCAGACACAGTATACTGACTCCGAGCCGACCAGTCCTTGTTTAAGCCCCTTAATGCCGAGCGCCAGACAGGGTAACAACAAGTATCATCTTTTAACGTCTTTTTGTATGACGCGACCGGGATATCGATCCCCGGGCGGACGCTGTACCACTAGACCACGGAAGCGGTCTATAAGCCTAAATATCCACTTTGGTTGTAGTTTTTTTAAAGAAAGGATAAGTTTTCGGACACTATTTTAAACAACGCAAAAAATTCTCTGAAAGGACCTGAACAAATAATTCTGACAACAATTCAGCATGTTTGGCCAACATTCTTTTTCTTGAGGCAAATTTTTTTTTTCTGTGTATTTTTTAACAAATTGTTTTGTCAGAAAATATGCAGGATTCGTTGAATGAATGTTGAATCGCACGCTATTCGGCATCAACAGCCGGGCACGCCTGGTCATAGAAATAAAAATAAAAAAACACCCTCATTCTGAAAATATTATGTCTTCAGCACAGACCGAATCGCTTCACGAATGCAAAATATAAATGGTTTGTCTGAAAACATTGGCAAAATACGTTTTGTTTCCATGCAAAAAACTATTTTATTCGGTAGTCGTGTTGTACAGGATGCTGGCTACATAATGATGAAACAAACATCTAGTAGACTAGTCCTAGTTTGCATGTTACTCGCTCATTAACTGTAACAACATGAATTTGAAATATCACAGATATTGTTTGACTGACATTCTAGACGTCGCTGAGTAGATAAGAAAATATACAACTGTATGGATAACGGTGTAAGTATTTACATCGAAACGTCGCTTTATGCAATAAACCAGAGGTTGTTATCCATAAAGTTGTTTGTGTTCTTATCACATATATTGATGATTTCAATGTAACACAAATAACAAAAGTCTTCGAAAGGGCTAGTAATTATATCATAATAATTAATAAACATGTCAATTTATGTCTACAAAATAGTACTGTGACGTATATTCATGAATGCTGATACGATATAGTACTGTGACGTATATGCATGAATACCGGTGATGTAGTACTGTGACGTATATGCATGAATACCGACGATATAGTACTGTGACGTATATGCATGAATACCGATGACACAGTACTGTGACGTATATGCATGAATACCGACGATATAGTACTGTGACGTATATGCATGAATACCGATGATATAGTACTGTGACGTATATGCATGAATACCGGTGATATAGTACTATGACGTATATTCATGAATACCGATGATACGATATAGTACTGTGACGTATATTCATGAATACCGATGATATAGTACTGTGACGTATATGCATGAATACCGACGATATGGTATAGTACTGTGACGTATATTCATGAATACCGATGATACAGTACTGTGACGTATATGCATGAATACCGATGATACGGTATAGTACTGTGACGTATATTCATGAATATCGATGATACAGTACTGTGACGTATATGCATGAATACCGATGATATAGTACTGTGACGTATATGCATGAATACCGATGGTATAGTACTGTGACGTATATGCACGAATACCGATGATGTAGTACTGTGACGTATATGCACGAATACCGATGATATAGTACTGTGACGTATATGCACGAATACCGATGATGTAGTACAGTGACGTGTATGCATGAATGCTGATACGATATAGTACTGTGACGTATATGCATGAATACACCACCAATCTGTTCTCGCGAGTGTATATGTACGGGACGTTTGCTTTCACTTGAGGCCATAACTACATACATGCATGTGAAGTACATGTCCAGACAATAGCACACACGTAGATGACGTAATGTCCACTTGAGTAAATACGTAGATGACGTAATGTCCACTTGAGTAAATACGTAGATGACGTAATGTCCACTTGAGTAAATACGTAGGTGACGTACATATCCACTCGAGTACTTACGCAGGTGACATGCATGTCCACTCGAGAACTTACGTAGGTGACGTACATGTCCACTCGAGAACTTACGTAGGTGACGTACATGTCCACTCTAGTACTTACGTAGGTGACGTACATGTCGACTCTAGTACTTACGTAGGTGACGTACATGTCCACACTAGTACTTACGCAGGTGACGTGCATGTCCACTCGAGAACTTACGTAGGTGACTTACGTAGGTGACGTACATGTCCACTCGAGTACTTACGTAGGTGACTTACGTAGGTGACGTACATGTCCACTCGACTACTTACGTAGGTGACGTACATGTCCACACTAGTACTTACGTAGGTGACGTACATGTCAACTCGAGTACTTACGTAGGTGACGTACATGTCCACTAGAGTACTTACGTAGGTGACGTACATGTCCACTTGAGTACTTACGTATCTGACGTACATGTCCACTAGAGTACTTACGTATCTGACGTACCTGTCCTCTTCAACCCTTACCTATGTGACGTACTTGTCCGCGTTAGTCCATACGTTGGTGACGTACCTTTCCAACAATACGTTAAGTTCAGGTAAACCTGACCACATACGTATGTGCGTGCCCTATCAATGAAGCCACATAACAGTTCGCGTTGATCTTGAGGCACCGGTTCTTACCGATTTCATCTTAAACCATATACACAGTGAGTTACACTTTAAAATTGTGTCAGCCATGTTTTAGCCATATACCGATGAAACACACGAAGACTATACAAGCACACAAGCAGTTAAGCACACCTTTTCAAAGCAGCATGGTACCCTGGCATCGTTATACGTCATCCCATGGTAGAACCGCCATGTCAACATCAAGTATACAGTGAGTGAGTGAGTTGGATATAACGCCGCTTTTAACAGTATTCCAGTTATATCACTGCGTGTCAGCTTAATGTGGGAGGAAAGCCCGAAGTGATGCAGGTCTCGGACGTTTACCACTTCGGTGAAACCCACGAGCACGGGTATGGAGCTGACAAACCTAGATACATAATCGGGGCGAACCGGGATTCGAACCATCAATCATAGGTTTCTGGCGTGCCCAAGGGACGCAAATCCACACAGCGAACCGTGGCGCCTAAGACGACAGGGCCACCCGTGCCTCCTCAAATATACGTATCCTTATCACATCCAGTACAATCGACCTGGAGTAATCGAGTCTGGATCACAGAATCCGTGATTGATAGTTAGAGCAGCGACCCGTATCAGTACAGTGATACTGTCACGGGAAAGCATACTGATCATCGTCGAGGAGAATCTGGATTTCGAACCCTCGAATAGCGGATACTGGCATTACTAAGGGAAGTAACTCTAAACTCAGAACTGTGGCACCTTATTCACTGCTCTAGACGTGAACGCAATGTATCCCGTTTACTTTTGTTTTCACATATTGAAAAAAGTTCCAAACTTCTGTACCGTCTCCAAATAGAATGTAAATCTGATGTTAACCTGATGTAAACCTAATGTAAATCTGATGTATATCTGATGTAAATCTGATGTAAATCTGATGTACATCTGATGTAAATCTGATGTAAATCTGATGTTAACCTGATGTAAACCTGATGTAAATCTGATGTATATCTGATGTAAATCTGATGTAAATCTGATGTATATCTGATGTAAATCTGATGTAAATCTGATATAACTCATGTATGGTGGCCAGATCAGATAGTGATCGGACTTAATGTCGACGGTGACTTCTTTCAGTGATACGGATCGAGTGTGACGCTTGGTTCAGCATTAACTTTGTTTTTCGGGGACATCATTCGGAGTAACTCCCTCCTGAATCGTGGTCCCGTGAGACAGTAGAGAAAGAAATGAGCGGCATTGTTCGTGTACTGCAACAGATTCACCAGACACCAGCCCAGATGGAGCCGAGCCTCGGTTTGAGGATCAGGGTCCTCGCGCCATGTTCCGAACCCGATCATGTACACAACAATTGGTGACGTCAGCAGCAAGAACAGGCAGTTGACTGATAATAACATCACCGTGAGGTGGGACGATTTCGGACAAGCTGATCTGGCTTTTGTATTGTTGTTGTTGTTGTTGTTGTTGTTGTTTGACTGCGTGCTTATGACGCTGATCTTCGGATGTTTTGATTGGCCAGGCGGAGTACTGATGTGGTGTACGTTCTGATTGGTCGATTTTAGTTCATATTGGAACCTCTCACGCTCGGAAACGGTGTGCCGACGAATCTTGCTGGCAGAGATGGCGAGCTTCCTGATAATGATGACGTTGCAGATGATCATGATGGTGAACGGGACGAAACATACGATGAACAGATCAATCCAAGGCCAGATGACAGTAACAAATTGTTTCATGTCGTCGTTAGCAGCATAACAATCTACCCCTTCCCCGAATATCGTACGAGGACTGAGACCATACGACCAGGCGAAGTGAACGTTGATCACCATCAAGAAACCCAACATGGCGGCGGCGGTAATTCTCGCCCTCCGCAGGGTACAGTACTTCCGGGCTTTGAAAGGTGCGAATACGAAGAGACACCTATCAACGGTGAGCGCAACCAGTATCCAAGCTGCGAAGTCTAGAGACACATACACAAGAAATATATGGAATTTGCAAGAAAAGTCTGAATAAATGCGAATATCTTCGTCAAACGTGTAATTTAGCCAGTAACGCAGTAACCCTGTATACAACACGAAGACGTCAGTGACCGCCAACACAGCCAAGTAAAACATCGTCGTCGAGGTTCGCATCCGCTTGCGGCATAACACGATGACAGACAGCAAGCTTCCGAACGTACCAATCAGAATGAGCAGCGGAGAGATCGACTTCCACATAATCACCCCTGTCTGGTATTCGGGAAAGTCCTTGTAAGTCAGATCAGTAATGTTCATTGCAATGGGGACGCCATCGGGTTGAAGGCGGAACTTGATCATCGTGAAGTCACGGGATCAGTAGCACCAGTGACAATGGCAGTCCGAAGTTGTCAGCTACCTGAAACAGATAAATGACTGATTAAAAAAATGAAGCGTACTTCACATTTTGTTTGCTTGTTTGTTGTCTAACGCCGCAATCAGCAATATTGCAGCTATATGACGGCGGTCTGTAAATAATCGAGTCTGGACCAGACAATCCAGAGACTGATATCATGAGCATCGATCCACGTTGGGATCAATGACATGCATCAACCAAGTCAGTGAGCCTGACCATCCGATCCCGTTAGTCGCCACTTACGACAAGCAAAGACCTATTCTACCCCGGATCTTCACGGGTCCTTTTCATTCGTCGGTGAAAAGTGAGAAAAGTAGGTATCTATACAAATGTTATTGTTTCCTGTTTAACGCAAATGCCGCCTTGACAATGTTTAATATAGGACCTCGGGCTGAAAAAAATCTGGACTGGACCGGACAAACCAGTGATCACGATAAGGATCGGTTAACGATCTTAATTTCTGAACCGAAATTCCGGGGGACAATCAAAATGTCAGAACATACCAGTGAGTGAGTGAGTGAGTTGGGTTAAACGCCGCTTTTAACAATATTCCAGTTATATCGCGGCGTGTCAGCTTAATGTGGGAGGCAAGCCCGAAGTGATGCAGGTCTCAGACGTTTACCACTTCGGTGAAACCCACGAGCACGGGTATGATGCTGACAAACCTAGAAACATAATCGGGGCGAACCGGGATTCGAACCCACAATCATAGGTTTCTGGCATGCCCAAGGGACGCAACTCTGCACAGCGAATTGCGGCGCCTTAGACGTCTGGGCCACCCGTGCCCTCTCATACCAGTGTCAGTAAGTAAAACGGCGTTTTTTAATGTAGGGAACGACCCACTTTACATCATCAGTAATTAAGGGGCACGATGGCGTCAAAGGGTTCGATTCTCTGGGTCGTGCTGATTATGATTCCTGGTTAGTCAGCATCCTGCCAAGTTTCACCAAAGACCTGCATCCTCTCGAGCTTGCCTTCCACGTGTTAACTCACTCACCGTCTCAGACATTAGGAAGTCATTGTTTGACATACCCACACCCGTACTCCATGTCACCATCGATCCCAATCGCGTGGATCGATGCTCATGATAACAATCATTGGACTGCCTGGTCCAGAGTCGATTATTTACAGACCGCCGTCATATAGCTGGAATATTGTTGAGTGCGGCGTAAAACAACCAACCAACCAACCAACTCCATGTCATCAAATCCAGCTCGTGGCGACATGTAAAAGGATTGTCACATGAATGTTCGTGCCATACCTTTTACCAAACAGGTATCAAAGATTATGTCAACAGTTGTGTCTATCTCAGGTTATCACGTCCCCAATGGTATTATACTGAGTCAAATTAAAAACTTCACATTTTTTAAAGTAATCCCATATATGATATACAACGGACGAATGTATCAGAGAAGGTAATTTTTAATCATTCATGTCCAAAGAAGGATTTTAATTAACGTAGGTCACCATAATTTGTTCCAAACACCTACGGTATTCGGTAATAACATCAACAGTTTAAATCATAAGTCCCAAGCACGAGAATCTGATGGCACACACGTTCAGTAGCGTGTATGGCTACCATGTGCGTTGTCAACTGCCACACAACGCCTCCGCATGGACCTTGTGATGCTTGTGAACACATGATTGGGAAGACGACGCCATTGTTGCTGCAAAATGGTGCCAAGATCTTGCAAATTCTGTGGTTGGTTCTGGAGAGTGCGTAGACTTTTGCCAAGAGCATCCCAGACGTGTTCGATGGGATTGAGGTCGGGAGACCTTGACGGCCAGTCCATGACGTTGACTCCCGCATTCTGAAGGAAATTCCTTGTCAAAATTGCTGTGTGGGGTCTGGTATTGTCGTGTTGGAAGATCAAACCGGGTCCATGTGCTGCCACAAAAGGCAGAAGTTCTGGTGCCAGTACCTGGTCGCGGTAAGCAGCAGCGTTGAGGTTGCCACGGATGACAAGAAGCCTTGAACGTGCATTGCCACAGAAAGCACCCCACACCATGACACTTCCGCCTCGAAATCTGTCAACTTCCTGTACACAACACTGGGCGTAACGTTCATGACGGCGCCTCCACACCCTCGCCCTAACATCAGCAAATCGAAGATTAAATCGGGATTCATCACTGAAGACGACTTCATTCCAATTCCTCTGAGTCCATCGTAAGTGTCGTTGTGCCCACAATTGACGTTGACGTCTGTGTAATCGAGTCAGAATCGGCCCGCAGTCGTGCTTGAAGGTTAGCAGTTCTCAGACGGTTTCTAACAGTTTGCGCACTCTGTCTACCCCTAAACAGTTCATTTCTGGTTGATGTAGCCGTCAAAAATCGGTTATGGAGGTGACGTTAGACAATCTGACGATCCTCTGCATGTGATGTCACACGTGGTCGACCTGGCCGAGGGCGATCAGCGGTGATAACCGTTTGCCGTAGACGCGTCTGTAAATCATAAACAGTCCGCCGACTACAACCCATCGTCCTTGCGACTTCAGCTACGGACGTTCCCGTCTGCAACATGCCGATGGCACGTTCACGTTGCACATTTGAAAGGCGTGGCATGACAAATGGCCGTAAAGACTTTTGTTTTCTTGTGGTTTTCTTTATTTTGTTAATGACTGCTAACAAGTATGGCTGAAAACACGTGCGGTATTATGGCCACGTGACCAGTTGCACGTGAAAAAACACGTTTGCCACTATAGTGCTGTGCACATGATTTTGATCGATTCACCTGCACAAAAACGGGTGTTATCTGAAGACAATACGTGGCCATAACTGTTTAAATACACAATAAGGGCCCACAATGATAACTGGTCAAAATGTTAAAATTTTAGGATTGTGAAGTTTTTAATTTTGTTCAGTATATATAACATCAAATACACGTCAACATTCTCATTCACGTCAACAATGGTATATACCCAACAACAGAGGTAACGCTTACTACAGAAACATATAGACAAGTATGTACGTTATGAAGACACTTAATGACAAACCTATCACAGAGTGACTTTAGTCTCATCACGATATGCTGCATGTGATTTCCAAACTTTACACGCTAATTATCCACGAAACAAGCATCTATATATATTATAGTTCGTCAACAATAGCGTCTAAAGTACGTCAACAATGATGTCTCTATTACGTAAACAATGGTGTCTCCATAACGTCAACAATGGTGTCTCTATTACGGCAACAATAGTGTCTCTATTACGTCAACAATAGTGCCTATAGTACGTCAACAATAGTGTCTATAGTACGTCAACAATGATATCTATATTACGTCAACAATGGTGTCTATAGTACGTCAACAATGGTGTCTATAGTACGTCAACAATGATATCTATATTCCATCACTAATGGTGTCTCTTTTACGTCAACAATTGTGTCTTTACTTTGTCAAAAAGTGTGCCCATCTTAAGTCACCATTTTCATCTCTGTTGCGTCAACAGTGGTGTCTGAACCACGTCCACAATATGTCTATTTCACTTCATCAATCGTGTCTGTATAAGTAACAAGGGTGTTTGTCAACAATACATGTCATGTTGGCAATACCGTCTTTATTATGTCAACAATGATGTATATTATGTCAACAATGATGAGTATGATGTAGAAAAATGATGTGAATTATGTAAACAGTGGCGTCTTGTTTTACGCCTACGTATGGCAAGCCGTTTTCACATTCATTACGGAATTACAGATATCTTCAATTGTTTTAAAGATATCTGTATTTTATTTAAAGATATCAATAATGTTTTAAGATATCAAAAAATAATTAAAGTTATCTTAAATTCATTTCTAATATCCATAATACAGTTACTGTATCTTAAAATGTTACAGTGATATCAACAAATTAGTTTGTGATATCTCTAAATGTATTTAAGATATCATTAAACAATTACCATCCTACTGTACATAAAATTTATATATGTTAGAAATAAATTCAAGATAGCTTAAGTTCAATTCAAGATACCTTGAAATAAGTTGTACATATCTACAAATGCATTGCATCATTAATTCGTTTTAGATATCTTTAATTCAATTAGAGATATTTTTAATCCAATTTAAGATATTATTAATTCGAACCGTTATTGATATTAAAATGCCAATTAAAGATATCATTAATAATTTTGATGATATATTTATATCAATTATTGATATCAGTTATCTAATTAACATCTAAGTAACATTATTAAAGTAATTAATAATTGATATCTGCCTTTAGTTTCAAGATATCAGGAATTAAACTACTGACATAACAAAACATGACATTTTGATGTCTTTAATTATATTTTGACATCAATAATCGAATTCAAGATATCAGAAATTCTTTTCAAGATATCAGTAATACGCTTCACCAAATCCTTAATTCATTTCGTGATATCTTAAATTTTATTGCAGATATCTACAATTATCTTTAATTAAGATATCTTCACCTACATTCACGATATCTTCAATTCAATTCAGGATATCTGTAAAACAATTGAAGATATCTGTAATTCCGTAATAAATGTGAAAACGGCTTGCCATACCTACGTAGGTTTAGGTCTGAGTCTGTATTGTGTCAACGATGTCTGTATTATAAAGGGGCACGGGTGGCCCAGTCGTCTAAGGCGCCGCGATTCGCTGTGCAGAGTTGCGTCCCTTGGGCACGCGAAACCTATGATTGTGGGTTCGAATCCCGATTCGCCCCGATTATGTTTCTAGGTTTGTCAGCACCATACCCGTGCTCGTGGGTTTCACCGAAACGTCTGAGACCTGCATCACTTCCGGCTTTTCTCACACATTAAGCTGACACGCTGTGATATAACTGTAATACTGTTAAAAGCGGCGTTAAACCCAACTCACTCACTCACACTGTATTTAATGAAGTCAACAATGAAGTTTATATTATGTCAACATTGATGTATGATAACGTCAACAATATTGTGTCCATTACGCCAACAATAAAGTTTATATTATGTCAACATTGATGTATGTTAACGTGAACAATATTGTGTCCATTA